CCCATGTTGAAACGATCCCGCGAAGCGGTGAATCAACTCTGTTAATTTGTTAAGCGTAAAACGGATGAAATCTGGGTACTCACGTATGCCAGACGTGGCCGCGGGCGACCGTTTGCTCTCGTTTCGTTCCGTTTCGTTTCATGGGGATCGATTGCGTGGATAAATCGATTTCGAGAGAACGATTATACGAATCGTGGATAAATTTCGATTCGATCATTTCAGAGAATGATTATACGATTTCGCTCGACGACGACCTAGCTTTTCGTCATACTTTCCTTTTATACGCCCCATTTCTTCTCGCGCGTTATTTTCGAGAAAAAGTAAGAAAAAAATAATAATAATAATAATAATAATAATAATAATAATTCAAAACGCGAATAAACAAGATAAATTTCGATTCGATCATTTCAGAGAACGATTATACCTAATATGGATCGTGTGGATGCCATTTTTTCCTTTCGATAGAAAATCGAGTTCGAGATGATAATCAGCTGTTTCGAATTTTTAATAAGAATCGATGATAATAAAATTTCGTTTCTCGAAAATAAATAGTATTCTCTATAGCAACTGACACGAGTTTATCAAATTTATTTGTAAATTGTGTATTTTTGTAAGAATCTTTCAATGCACGAGTTGTACGTATTCTCTCTCTCTCTTTCTCCCTCTCTCTCACATTTTCGCGCGTTCAAACGCGATCGAAAGGGACGACTAATTGCGCGAATGTAAGTCGGAAAGTCGAATTAAGCGCATTTTCTCTGGGAAGAGAATATCCTCGAGACTTTTACAAGAGAGAGAGAGAGAGAAAGAGAAAGAGAATTCATCTGTAACGTATATTTTGTTAATATTCCGCCTCTCTCCAAAGGTATAACGACGTTAACATAATTACAAGTCTGTTGGCACTCGTTATTACGCGATTTCGCTCGATAACGACCTAGCTTTTCGTCATACTTTCCTTTTATACGCCGCATTTCTTCTCGCGCGTTATTTTCGAGAAAAAGTAAGAAAAAAAATAATAATATAATAAATAATAATAAATAAATATAATAAATAATATAATAAATAATAAAATAATATATATAATAATATATAATAATATATTAATATAATATAATATTAAATAATAATATATAAATATAATAAATAATATAATAAATAATAAAATAATAAATAATAATAATAATTCAAAACGCGAATAAACAAGAGACAAGAAGACGCAGATCGAGTCCAACGCGATCGAGTCCCGCCACAAAAGGGTGAAACAAACAAAATTTCCGCTCCGCTCCGCTCCGCCAAACAAAGGTTACCACGCGCGCATATCTTGCGCCCGAAGCGGCAACGCGTGCCGAATATTCGCAACCTCGTTGCGATTCCGAATATAAATAAACCCGTGTACCGAGCGCCGTGTTTGTCGCCGTAAATCGTTGCACTATCAATTCCGGGACCGATGGGTTCTCGTTGCTTCCCTTCCAGATCTCCCGGTCGATCCGTCGAGCTGATTATTTCGAAAACCGCGAAACGTGCAACGTAAGGGAAAAACGTAACGTGAAGAGAAACGGCGGAGAGAGTATATAAGTAAGTGGTCGTATCGATCGAGCAATTTAAAGATAGGTGGGTGGAGGAGGTGGTAACTAAGCGATAAAACGTGACGATCGAACATTTTCGAATCGATTTTATAACAGCCGCCATTTTCGAAATTATTAATTGGATCGAGATGGAATCGTATCCGATTGTAAAAATATATAGAAATTTTTCGAGTTCGAGCAAATCTTAAAATCGCCATTAAAAAAAAATCTGGAAATCTGGAGAATTTCCAAATCTAGAAATTTACATCGAGGTTCGATTTCGAGGTTGATCGTTCCATCGAATCCATTTTACCAAGCCATTCATCATTTTGAAAATCGTTAACCAATAAAAAATGGAATCATACAGAAATATCGAGATTTCTCCTTTTCCGTTAAATCGAATTTTACGGATCTATCGCTTCGAAAATTATTACACTTTTTAAATGGAATCGTTCCATAAGAAAATGAACTTAATTCGGATTAAGTTAAATTAAATGATGTAAAATATATACGGCAACTATAGTCAGAAATTTATTTATCCCCAATGATCGTGGGTAACCCGAGTGAAAACTCGGCTATCGAGAGGACCACGATCAAAGGGTACGTAGCCCTACAACGTGGCACAGCTGACGTTCAGGGAGTCTTTTTAAACCCCCTTTCAAGGACAAATCGAAAAGTGCAGCATCGAACGTGCCAATGCACCTCTCTCGAATTCCCTCATCTCCTCCTTTTAACGTTCAAGATGACCACCCGTGGGAACTTTATCCCTGTTCGCCATCCCGTATTCCTCTCCTCCTCGCGAATAAAAAAGAGAAAAAAAAAAAAAAAAAAAAAGAAAGATCAATTTTCGATTCGTCCAAGCAATCGAATCGATTTCGATTATTTTGGGATTATTATTTTTCGCGTCGAGATTGGATCGTAAAGAGAAAAAAGAAAGAAAAAAAAAAAGAAAAAAAAAATAAAAATTTTTTGATCCGTCCGTCAAAGAAGAATCGCAAATTGCGCGCATTTTTGTCGCATTGCCGGTGATTGAATGGAAATTGAATCATTGGACGCGATGATAGATCTCGAGGAAGTGGAGGAGCCCCCACGTGGGAAGTGGGTGTATGAAAAATTCATTGGGACGGCGGGAGCATTAACGTGGAGCAACGTTGTTTCCTCGAAACTTTGTCGATATCGGCGGCTGACACCCCTCCCCGCCCCCCTCCCCGGAGTGGAGTACCATAATTGAACGGTGGATGATTTTTAGGTGTGGGAGCCGGTGTTAAATAAACAAAGTTTCGTTCGATCAACTTCCAACCGATATTTCGTTCCTCACCGGAACGGAAAGAAAATGATGCGTATCATTTGCAACGCGTTCAACTTGAAAAGAATGATGGAATAAAAAAGATAATCTGCTTCGAGGTATCGCTATTTATTTTCCAAATTTTTGCACCGTTCAAAATTTTTTATTTTTAATCCATCACTAGGTTAGCTAGTTCGTATTTAGAGTATTTAATTTCATTTTTGAATCCCTTTAGTGGAACTTTATTTTTTTTACCGATAAATCTCTTAATGTATCTTAAGAGCATCAAAAGATTATGCAGTAGAGAATTTTTTTACCACATTTTTTTCACCACACCCTCCGAAACAAGTAAAAGAAGAAAAAGAAGAAGGAGGAAAAAAAAAAATTTTCGTGGATACAAACCTCCACGTTATTGTGGGAAGATGCGAAAAATATGCTTGTTCACGGACTAAATTAAGATTCTTATAATGAGGTGTGTGTGGTCTCGCGAAAGGCAGCAAAGATTCTGAAACGAAGGCGGAGGTTCGTTATAGAAAGATGAAATTTAATGCCGGTTACTTATGCATACGACGTGTCGGGACCGTATTATTCGCGCGTTATTACACGCGCAGGATGCATGCGAGCCGGAAATGTCTCGTAAGGGAAACGCGATCGCGCGATCCACGGCAACTTAATGACGGTTAATATGTAATTCTCCCCTATTGAAATCCGATATAATATTACGAATTCTCGACCCGTGTTGTTAATAAAATATACGTGTGATTGGATGCATGGGGTTAGGGTGGGGGATTTACGTATTCAGTATTGGAACGAGTAGAATGGATAGCGCGACTATCGTGCTATATATAATTTCAATAAATTCTGGAATTCAGGATGTTTGATGATAGACGAATTCCGTGTTCGAACGAGGATGGCGGAATAACGACGTGATTTTATTATGCTCGTATACGAAGAGTCGTTGCATTATCTTTGATCAATATATGTAACGAGAAAAATTGCTTCGATCGATATTTTTCCTTCATTCAATCGCGAATAATTTTGAATTAATATTTGGTTTACAATCTTTCATTGAAACTGTGCGATATTGAGTCCCATTTGCCTTAAGTTTAAAATTGTATATTTTAGAAATTGTTGTATAGCATTGCAAATAGCAGATAAAATGAATTCGATAAATAAAGTAACCTTTGATTGTATTTTCAATAGAATGTTTCGAAATTTCTTCCTCTTGTTGCCACGCTTTCGATATCGGCATCGGTATCGTTTTGTGTGGTGTCTTGAGTTATATATTACTATATATGAACAAAGAGAGCAAATAATATGAGAAGGATGAAGATAGAGTAAAAATATTGAAATTAACGCCATCTCTAGAGTGCCGCAAATCAAACATAGAAAGCATAGAAATAAGAAAAGAATCGATCATTAGCGCCATCTTTTGAGTTACGATATCACTAAAAAGGTAAAGTTAGTTTTAAAAGTATTCGAGAGATGGCGTTGTTTCACAATTCTTGTTCTACCTTATCCTGTCTTTTCTTTAGGAATTTCATTAACCTCCAAGAGATGGCGCTACAAATCAATTTTTATCCTATCTTCTATCTTTCTATCTTTTTCCTATTATCTTCTATCTTTCTTTTCTGTGTTTCATTTGTGGCACTCTGAAGATGCTGCTGATTTCAATATTTTTATTTTATCTCTATCCTTTTTTACTGTTTACACTCTTTGTTTATACTTATTCTCGATACACTATCACAGATACGATACCGCATGTTAATTCATTTTTTTTTTAAAATTATAATATGTTTTGATATTTAATGTAAGAGATATATATTTTTAATATAACAGGATATATATATATATATATATATATATTTTTAATATAACAGAATATATATATATGTATATGACATTTATATTATCTTAAATAATTTAAATTGTTGAATACGAATACCGAAAGAATACGAGAATAATTAATTTTGAGAATATAAAATTTTTTTCATTTTATATCAAATGTAAGATTACATTTAAAACAATACTTTTAATCCTTTATTTTTATGAGATAAAGCTTCATAAAAAATCTTTTATATTACATATTATTTTATATTACATATAACCATTGTATTGATTTCATTACTGTCCATTCATTGAAATAAGAAACATCAAGTTATAATAAACTTGCTCGATACAATGAGATCATAAAAACAGTGAAATGCAAAACTATTAATGATCTGACTATTGAAATGCAAATTCTAATAAAATTGTAATAATCTGTAATTGTGCATAATATAAATATCAAATTAAATATGTTTTACAAAATTCCAAAACATTCTAAAGTACAAAAATAATATTCTGCCTTGCATTTTTTTAATCTTTAACGCATTAAAAGTATTGATAGTTTTCTTAATCCCTTAATTCCTTAATCTAAGTTAATAGAATTTTTATAGAAATAAGTCACTCGTTAATCTAGGACTAAAGATCGCAAAGAATCTTCAGGATAAGTTTCCATTATTGCTGTAGCGCCAAAATTAAACGGTATCGCTATGCCACCATCGAGAACTATACTAGCATCATAACACTGTGATCTTACTGTTAACTTATTACAAAATTTTCGGTGATGAATACATTTTGGTACAGGCCACAGATCATTTACTATCATATCTCTTACAACATAACATAATTTTGATTCCTCTAAAATATGTTATACATAGAAATAATTATTTTGTGATAATTGTTTATATTTAAATAATATTATACTTACCTGCATCAAAATATAAGCTATTGTTAAAAGTAGAACAGATTTTATCAATTTCTTCATTAGTAAATTGCTTCTCGTTATTTAAAAGAGTCAATATTTCTTGTACTATTTGCGGATTAACGCTATTTATTGATTTATACCATGATGTTGATCCTGTTCCTGTAGTAATACATAAACCAGAGCTTTTCACTAAATGATATTTATTTTCATCGTCAATACTTATAAGCAATGAACTTGTTTTAGCAGAAAGTGTTTCTGCTATAAATACCTATATGTGAAAGAGATGTTAAATTCTAAATTATTAAAAGATATATGATGCATTTAATGAAACTTACTTCATTTAATGCTAACCAAGGCAAACGCCTTACTTTTGGTAAATTACTTGATACTTCATTTTGCTCTCGCATATAAAATCTGCAACAATGAAAAATTTTTTTTCAACATATAATATTTTATATTATAAATTAATTAAATTTATTACGTAATAATAAAATTTATTACTTTTCTCCATCTGCAATGCGACCTTTTTCGTGTGTATGAAAAGGAACATCCCAAATATTATCTCCCTTTATCGTAGTACGAATTCTCCGTCTCATTATTACCTTATAATAACCTGCTCTTAACATTTCGAAAATTTCAGATATATTTTCTGTATATTTCATTGGTAACATAAGATATCCTTCGGATTTTTCCGGACATGAATTAATACCAATTATTGGTTTTTTGTTATCAAATATCATATTTGATGCCAATAAAAATGTACCATCGCCACCGATTGGAAGAATTAAATCCGCCCAAGCAAAATTCGAAGCTTTTAAATTTTTCCTTAAAAATTAATATTAATATTATTATTAATAATCATTTTTTTCTTTTCAATAAAAGATTTCTTCGAAAATTATATATACCTATTTATTAGTTTATATTCTATATTCAATTTTTTTAAAATTTCGGTTACTTTTTTTTTTACATTTTCGGTTGCTAAATGACTAATCATCATAGAATCATAATCAGAACCTCTTTCTTTTAATTTCTGTTTGAATTGTTCTTCATTCAAATTTGGTTCTCGTATTTTTTCAAAATAATATCGCGATAACTTTACTACAATAAGTATTCGTTTTGGTACAAAACTCGATTCATTTCGCAAGAATAATCTGAAATTATTAACATAAACATTGTTCTTATGTGGTTGTAAAAATTGGACAGCTCCTGAAAAAATATAAAATATGAATTAAATCATTAATTAATCTTTTACAAATATTGAAATAAATCATAATTTGAAATAATAATAAATTATAAATTAATTTTTTTCGCGTGTTCATCATCATGTATATATAAAAATGTATTATAAAAATATTACGCAATATGTTATATTATTTGTAATATATGTATATTACAAATAATCAATTATTAATTTAATAATAAAAAATTATTTATATAAAGTTGATTTGTTTATTATATTTTCAATTATTTTATTTATTATCACATGTTTTATATTTAAAATATTTTAAAATATATTTTATTTATTATAATTTTTAAAAAGAATTAAATTATTCTATAATCTATTAATATATTGCGAAAAATTTTTTTAATTTTTATTATTATATTTTATTATATTTTATATTCAAAGTATTGATATAGCGATATATACTCTGATATTAGTTTATTGATATATAAAATATACTTTGATTGTTCTATTACTTGAAATTATTCAAATTAAAATACATACTGAAGTTATTATTATAATTTGTTTTTTGTTTTTATTGGAGCTCATTGACATTACGATCACGGATGTAATTCAACATTATGTAAAATTCACTTACTGACAGATCTTCGAAAATGATTGAGAGTCGTCATCGCATGCTTAAAAAAATGTGTATGTCAAATTCGTACAAATAATATTACAAAAAGTGATATGTTAAGAACATTAAAATGTTCCTAACCTCTCTACCGGTACGAACAGTAGATGCTATACAATCAAGTGCAATGTTTGCATTCACTCTATGACCATAGAAATAAATCTCGAATGTAAAACTAGTATGGCGACCGCGGAAAATATGAATGCGAGTATAATTTTTGTTTCCATTGATAAAATAATAATTTCTTAATAATTAATTAAAGTAAAAAAGAATAAAAATATAAAATAACATTATAAATTATAATAAAAAAAGTGATTCTATGTTTCTTTCTGTTTGTGAATGAAAAAATGTGAATCATTTCAATAATCTTTGTTCTCAAAATTCAGTAATTGAAATAATTTAGAAAGAAAAAATTTCACTGTACAGATACACGCTTCGCTTACACTTTATTAATTCATTTGCAATACATTAATTAAGTCTGTTTAAATAGCATCAAGGCTACCTAACGTATGCCTTCGTTTATACTATAGACAATCATCTAACTTAAACACACACTCTTTTTGTCTTTCGATAATCTTTCGTACACTCTCATTCTCTCGCTCTTCCGTTCTTTCTTCGTATTCTCTTTCTCATTTGCGCTGTTTCTTATTTCTCTTTAATCTGTTCCATTATCGATATCATTTATCGTTATTGTTATTACCATTGTCATTATCATTATACCATATAATATATCATAAGATCGACGTTAAAAACTAAAATTCGTATAAAAAGCGTCGTTATTCATACTAACAATGTAACTGTACTATTTAAATAATAATTGAATCTTAAAAAATTATTTGTTCTTGTTGTTGGTGGTAGTGTGTTTGAATGTATGAGATGTTTAATGCATCGAGTATAATACGAGGATGCAAGGCGTGCATAAAGTGACACATGTATTTATGCATACATTTATGTCGATTTATATTCTAAGAACTTCGGTAAGATCGCGAAATGCCCCGACATTGCGCTCACGTATCAAATTATACAATATATATCTTTTTATATCATTTATTATTATGAGAAATAACGATTGTTTTAAAAAATAAAAAGCGTATGTTGATGATTTATAGAAATATAAAATTAACAAAAAAAATATAAATTTTTACATATTCATGGTATTTGCAAATGAAGAAGTCATAATAAAGAAACGCGCGATTTACTCGTTACGATCTTACCGCTATCAATCGTTCTTAGATTATATCAGGATGTTAATACATCCATTTTGCGTATCCAATTGCATCTCGCATATTTTTTTTTTAATCATCTTTCACATTGTAATCGTTTTCACACGGCATTTTATAATCTAGCTAATACTTTTACATACTACGAATGTTTAGCACATATCACTACGGCCGAACCAACTCTCTCTCTCTCTTACGTACGCTCTTTTTCTCTTTCTCTCTCTCTCTCTCTCTCTTTTCTTTAACCTTCGTTATTACATAACTATCCGCTATTACGAGCAATAATGTACATCAATTACATAAAAAACAAGATATCATTGTGTTAATCGTTTCAACGTCACGCGATGGTCACATTTGCGAAGGTACCGCGATTTATTAATTAATCCAAAACTTACTACCGACACCATCATTCATACGTAGTAGGTTCTTACAACGCCCTGATGCACGATATTCATTTCGAAACGTGTTTGGGTTGTTGTTCATCATCCCGGGTACACTGCATGTGAGATATTACATTATTATAATCCTATCGAAAAATCGAATATATCGCTTAAAAAACTGACGTATTATTACGAACAATTAAATGAGGTCCTGTTTGGAACTCGATGCGGATAAAATTCAACGACGCTTACATTTCATAGTAATGCTACGCATCATATAGGATAAAACTATTTAAAAAAAAAAAAAAAAGAAAAAAAAAGAAAAAACGATCGTTTATTACTTGCTTTAAAATTTATAATTTCATTCTTTCTTTGTTAAAAGAAACGTGCCATTCAACGTATACAATTAATCATTCATTAAAATAAATAGAACTTTAATATATATTGCTTTTAAATATGATATTTGATTCGAATGATATTAATTGAATAATTGCAGTATTGATTTAGAATATGCTAAATTGATTTTTTAAAACATAGTTATTAAAAACTGTTCATATTTATCTTTATACATTTTCAAATACATATTTTATTTATTTAAAGTTTAATTTTCTCCTTTGTAAATTATTTAAAATTTCTTGTAATGTGGATAAAGATTCACATTTCTGTTGTCAAAATTCACATTGAGTTATTAAATTATTATATTTATGTGTAATCATTTAATCAATAACCCATGTGTGAGTCAAAAAATATTTAAAATAAAAAACAAATCAATAAAAATTAGAGACAAAATCCGTGGAATGGCATAAATTATGTCCTTAATTGGAAGATTGACTTCATCGTCATGTTGCATATCTTACTCTACAGCAAATGTTACCCTTATCGTGCTGATGTTTTTGTGGGCAGAGGTGTTATGTGTGTTTTGCATGTTTCATGTGATGTGACTATCTATATAGTATACATATACACTATATTCATATTTATACATATATATTTATATTTATTTATATATACCTCTTCTTTTCACATTCATTACTTTGCAAAATATTTCTTTTGCCGGCACTAAGCCTGTATAATACAATCGCAAATTACATCTTGTTCGCTTAGGCAAAATTTACTTGTTTTACTTGGTAAGTACAGTGACCATCTGCATTGCATTTCATTTCTACTCGAGGAGGAGGTCAGGTTGGAGGCTTCAATAGAGTATCCCACATATGGATATTTTAGTCGCGTCGATTTTAAAAAGCTCCAAATCACAAAACGTAATTGTATACGTAAAATCTCTGTTACGGCTTCTGGCCTCGATAAAGCTTCTCTTATTTATCCTACTTACAATCCTTATGAGGTTCGTTAAACGCAACTTGAGTTTTGTTCGGCAGAAGCGTCTCGACGAATATAGAATTCTTGTAACATCGCGTTTTTTAAGTTCATCGTTGATGCTACAGAGAGAAGTACGGGCCGTTAAAAACGTTCGCCACCATTGGATTATTTTCGAGCATTAAAGTATATGTATGGTTAGAATGCGAGAAGCGCCCACGCGAGCGTCGATTACGGGCGAATAACGAATAAAAGATCAGAGACGAATAGAACACGCACGTAACGCGACGCGCACGAAGATGTATCCGCATTCGTGGAGTTTTATTATTATTTTTTTCTCTATTAGAATTAAAGTTGTTCAATCGACCGCTAGAACGAGGCCGACAGAGCACAGAGAAAACAGGTCTCGCGATTAATCTCTTCGATGATATTCCTAATGATACTCTCGAGGGTTTTACCCTCTAGTAGTAGAAGTGGGCAAAACTGTTGCAGGTGTTGCGAGAACGAACCGAGCCTCAGCTATGCGTTTGCGGGTGTGGAGGTGGTGCGCCAGTAATCTCGGTCCAACGCATTTCGAAGAAACTGCGCATCCCATGTCCGGCCTTCCCCACGGGACTGTCGTCCTCGTTGAATACCTCGCAGTTGATGAACATCTGTCTGACATCGGCGCAAAACTCATCGCGAGACTTGTACCTGTATCGAGAAGCACTCTTTGGAACATGTTCGCAATTTTCCAATTTTTTCGGATTGAAGCTGACGATCAAGTTAGAGCTTTTTTCTAGAGATCTTAGATGAACTTTTTTTTTTATGTTTAGGGAAAGAGGCATTTCTAAATAGAGAGTACGTTCAATTAACTAGTAGTCGTTGGTACGCGTGTAACTTACACGGAATCCTGCAATTTCTTCTTAATAGTACTGAGATCCATGGGTGTTTTAATAATTTTCTTGTAGGTAGGAAACTGTTTGGTGTTCACCGGCAAGAGGAACGGCCAGGCCTCGTCCTGTTGCTCCAACTGTTCGAGTAGCACCTTACAAGGAGCCAACTCTCGTTGTTGTTTCTTCGTGAGCGTCCTATTGTTTCCCTCCTTCCGTGGTGAGGCAGTTGGGGTTGCTGGTTCCGATGAACTGACGTCCTCTACGTGTGTGTTCGATGCCGTTGACGGCGTTGGACTGCGACGCAAAACAATAGAAATTATTTGCACGATTATCTTTCTCGTTTGCAGGAGGTTTTTCCGTCTTAAAAGCTTCTGGACGAATGCATTAAGATTCGAGCGTGTATTTTCTGCTTGAGACGGGTACGTTGTTCTCGATGGAACATTTCGTCTTTCTGACTCTTTGTCTTTCGTTCTATTTGGTCTCGCTTTTTTCTCTCTCGTCGTTTTTGCCCTTTTATGGTTTATTATTAATATTATTATTATTATTACAGTATTAATATTATTATTATTGTTGTTATTATTATTATTATTATAATTATTATTATTATTATTACTATTATTAGTATTATTATTTTATACATTTTCATAGAACCTGAAGACAGCTCTACCATTACGACGAATTTTTTAAGAAAATACCCAACCCGTTAGTCGATGATCGTAACACACTGTACGAAGTACAGGGTGTCCCCCGACGAGAAGAGATATGACACGATAGTATTCATAAAGATACAGAATATCACTTGAATGAAGAAAAACCTACCTATCAATAATTTTTAATATATGAAGAATATTAACTATATATTATCTATCGCGGAACACCCTGTATGAAGTAAATATTTTCTTACAACATAATTTTCGACGAGTATGTACGATATGGGTCGAAGATGTAAGTCGAGTATAATCGCATGAGAGTGATGTGTATGCATTTATGTTCATTCGTTTTAAAACAGTTTCTTTTTGTTTTCTATTCGATCGGAAATTGGTTGTTCGTTTGCGTTCGCTGAATATTATAATTGAGTCATAATTTCGTAGTTATTTTCCCTATTGTATATTTTATGTCAAACATTGTTAAATCAGCGTGTTGACAGTGTTTGTTTTTTTTTTTAACGTAATCACCTAGCTGGTGGATGATCAGAACTTTCACTTTCTCTGGTGCCTCCCCCTTTGGTATGACTCCTTCGACTACTATTTCTCTTCTTTGGTTGTTTACTGTGGCAATTAGAACAATACCATTTTCCCCTTGGCATCTAAAAATATGAGATAAGTAAATTAAATAAACGAGAATAACACATTTCTTTAAAAAAATATATTCACATCTAAATATATATGTATATATGTAAATATTGATAAAAAAAATCACTTACTTTTGGCATAACAGGATTGTGGCAGTCAGTGTGATAAGCCCTTGGACAGAGTTCACATAATACTAAATTTTTACCAACTCTCTTTCCACATACCAAACAGTTTCGTTCCCCTGTTGCTTTATTCATGCATTCGTGACAATACCTAAAATATATTCATAATTGTAATTGTTTAATTACAAATGAACTTATCATCATTATTTGATAATTTAAAATACAATTTCTTACCAGTCACCATCAGGAATGTTTTCCATTTTTGGACGGAAACAATAAGTATGATAGCCGCGGTCACAACCATCACACAATAATAATTTGTCTTCGTTATCTCCGCTATGACAAAATTGACAATTCTGTAACAAGAAAAAAAACTTTCCAATTTAAAATGATAAAACGCATATTTCGAAAATATTGATTTCAGTTTCAGCATTTATTAATTAAGCATTTAAAATTAAACCCATAAATGCAATAAATGTTAATCAACAAAAAATACATATAATAAATAAGAAGATAAACTTTAACATTTAGAAATATATAATTAACAAAATTAGTGCAAAGCAATTTTAGTTTCTTTGTATCATGCATTTTGATTATTATATAATTTAATGTATAACTAAATTTAGATATATAAATGGTGGATTGGAATAACTGAAAATTTGTATAAAGTAAAACCAAAATAATAAAATATTTTAAGACTATGCATATAATTATATAGTTATAACTAAATATAGAAACTATTCTACAAAAGGAATCATATGAAGCATTAAAGGAAAAAATTAGTAAACGATAAGCGGCATTTTCTTGCATGCTACCGTTACGTTAGACTCTAACCACCATTTAGCACATTAATAAATTATTTTTCTTTTAAATTATAGCAATTTTTTCAAAATGCATTGTAAGTTTTATATTAAAACAATTAATTCTCCAATTTTATTTTTCATTAATTCACAACTATGACTGCCGCATTATTCGCACTTAAAAATATTCATGAATTCGTTTAACTTCCTTACAATATTACATTTGAACATGTTACGGAAAGTGCCACGATAAGAGCATTTCGTTTGACCAAACATTTACCAATCATTTTTGAAAGCGATATGCTCTCTGTGGTTCATTGTGCAAGGAAGGATAGAAGAATCACGCAGGAAGTAAGAAGAGGGTACTTTGGTTAGTAAGTTAGTGCGAATACCCACAGAGGCCTGAGAAGTAGTCAATAGCTGATTGTATTGAGTGGTAGCTTTGAGTGAGACGCAGCGGTTTCGTAGCTTGACGCAGACCGAGTTTCTAGCTGGTGTTAGACTCACAGCCTTCATGATGCTCTTGTCCCAAGCGATGCTAGCCTCCAACATATAAAGTGCCATGGCCAGCTGAGCGGATGTATGTGCTCGAGCTGTTGCCTCTCGCCAGTTGTTTAGCCCTCTTGGAGTTGTTTCTTCTTGAGGTACTGGGGTCTGATTGCTCTGATCCGAATTATTCGAATTCGCATTTGCAGCAGCTGCTTGTTCTGCCTTTAAAGCCGCTAAGTTTGGATCTCCCGTACTATAATTTTAAATAAATGAATGGAATAAATTCTCAATTGAAATTTGTGATATTTAAATTCTAGATAAATATCTAAATATCTTACCAAACACCTAACGGTGGTTTCAAATATCTCCTTTCTATAGCGGCCTCTAGAGACAATAACCTTTGCCGTGCTTGTTCAACTGCACTGATCTTTTCCATTTCGTTCAGTTTTTCAATTTCTTCAGCCTCCTCGGTTCCTGCCCGTGGAGGCAGTTTCCAGCCTTTGACCTGCATGCTGGCATTTGCGACTTTATCTTCTAGGGCCTCAACTTGTTCCAATAATTGCGCATCCACGCGTAGCGCAACTTGTTCACTCCAGACTGCCGGATTGTCTGGTTTTGGAATTGGCGTATCAGGTTCATCAGGTGTCGCTTGAAGTTCTGTAGCAGTAAGATTGCCAGGATCTACGTTGATCTTGCCTGTAACAGCTAAGAAAGATTCCATAGTCGCCCACGTTGTACGTTTTAGTTCTTTTTCGCGAACACCGCGAGAATGAAGATGTTCCAACAATTCTTGAAACGTATCGACATCCGTTATTCTCCACCAGCCATATCTTAAGTCTAAAACGAACAATATAATACATTAGTATAACTTTAGATAATTTAAGAAATTAGTTATCACGTATTACTTGCCATTTGGTACTGGTTTAGCTTCTCCAGGAGGTGGTAGACCATGAACTTTTAAATATTCAAGTTGCGCTGCTTCGTCTTGAGTCAAAATTAAAGGAGCAGGACTATCACATCTATCATAATTTGGACTAGCCGGTGGAGGAAATACTGGTATTCTAAGTTCAGTTGGTTCGGCTATTCCAAATATTTGTTTGGTACTTGGTCCTGGAGTATCACAAGTTTCCCGAGGTAAAATTGAGAACCAATTCGATTCGTTACTATTATCTGAAATTATTAAAGTAAATAACATTAGCACAAACATTTTTAAAGATTTTTTAATGTATAATAGATTGAGGAAATCTTACTGGAAATAAAGGTGCCATTCAATTCCTTCCCATTATGAAGGTTATTCACATGATTGAATTTATCACCGTTTGGAATTGTTTCAACAATTTTATCTTCCATCATCTTTACCGCTGGTTTCATATCTTCATCCGTTTCGTCATTTTCTTTTTTTGTTTCTTCTTTGACATCCACATCCATACTAATTACTTCTGTTTCTTGTTTAATCTCTTCAGATGTAACATTGGTTTTTGCATCAGTCATTGAATTATCTAAATCATTCTTTTTCTCTTCTTTAACATTCGTTAAATTTTCACAGTTTTGCATAGGTTCTTTCTTACAATTAACATCTTCAATTTCAGATTTCGTTTTCTCTATTAAAGGTTTCATATCTTCTTGATCATTTGAATTGAACTTCTTTTCCTTCTTTACGTCATTAGGAGCTTCATTCTCGCGATTTTCGACTTTAGTGTCTTCTTGTTTTGTTTCTCTTTTCTCCTCCATCGATACATCTTTGTACTTTTCGTCTAATTCAGCTTGCAACTCGAGGATTTCAGGTTCTGCGCTTTCCATGGCCTCGACGAAAATGCCACCTGCGCATGCTAACTCCCAATATCTTCTCCAATACCTATCTTGACCAAATATGTGGGCTCGTAGTTGTTTTGAAGAGCTATTCAATTTTTGCAATTGTTCTTCTGATTGTTTTAATAATTTGTCCAACTTTTTACCGAGCTCTTCACCAGAGAGATTTTTGTCTTCTTCCTAAATTATACATATATAAATGCATAAAATCTTTATTTTATAACAGATCAATCAATATATTTTAAATTATATAATTTACCTCCTCAGGTTGAGTTCCTTCACTCTCATTTTCGGACATGTCTTCAACTTCATCTTCATGATGAATCTCATCAGGAGTGGGTGTCGTACCTACTGCCGTTGATGATGTGTTACCCTCCTCATCGCCCTCTTTTTTCTCAATTGTAATGGTGTCTCCAGTTTTATTAACTATTACACCCACTGCTTCCATTCGTACCTTTCGACTATGTAACTGTCTCAATCTACATAAATATAATAACAAATAAAATTATTAATCTCACTCTAAATTCATAACCTTAAATCATGAATAAAAATACTTACTTTCTTATCTTTGTGTCCAATACGAATCTTTCTTTTCTTAATTGAGCTACTGTTTCCAAGCTTCCTTCGATCTGTCTGATCACAGCTTTGTTCTGCAATAGCTCGTTACAAAGGAACGCGAGCATTTGTGCCTTGTGTGTTGGATTCAAAGCTAGGAATGGTTTGTCTCGCAACCTTTCGGACATCCTCCATGTTTCGTTATTATGTAGATGCTCGTAAAATTGAGCATTTTTGCCCGAACAGGTCGAAGCATAATCACCACCATTCTGATGATGATCGGCAAATTTCTTATCGCGTTCTCGTTCTAGACATACTCCTGTCAGAGCCTTCACTTCTCCTGTCGCGTTCGCGTATAAGTAGATTCGTAACACCTCACTGATGTTGGCATGCGTTATGTCAGCTTGTCGGAGGCTTTGACCAAGGCCTGTCGTGTGTCTCGCTGGTTGAGGGATTCCTGGATCCTCGATTGCGCATACTAACAGATGTGTCATCACGGACAGAAGCTCTTCCTCTGCTTCCTCGTCATTGAGCAACGCTAATTGAAGGCTTTTTAAACTTGGGAGCGATTCCATATCTAAAAATGAAGATTAATATTTGAACTATATCTATAGAAATTATTAATTAGAACTATATCTACATGAAATAATGATTGCTTTAAAGTTTTATTCGATTATTGAACAATCACTTACCAAAGCCTAAAGTCTCGCCGAAATTATGTAGAAATTCAAACACCATTACGATGTCTGCAAACGCTTGGCCGGATAATTTCAGACCAGGTATTCGTTTTAATTCTGGCAGTGATCTATGATCTGAAACCAGAGAATTCAGTACATGTTACAGAATTTACAAATTACATGAACAAAAGCTTCACAAAGACATACCAGTTAGTTCCATATCTTCAACAGGCTTTCTGATCTGTTCGATCAGTTCCATCTCCATCTTCCTTTGTTCGGCACGTTTCTCTTTCGTTGCTATTCTCTCAGCTCTCGCCTCCAATCGTTTTTTCTCCCTTTCCTCCATTTTTCGGCGGTTTTCTAACGCTCGAACCAATGCCATGTGCTGCCTCCTTCGTTCTCTTTCCTAAATTATTTAACGAGAAACCATTGAACCGAGAAAAAAGATACATAGAGAATCAACGACATTCCATGCAGAGAATTTCTCGTAAGATATTTTTGTTAAAAGCACAACTGTGGCACACACGGGCTACAACAACTTCTACGTTTCCAAGGTGTTTCAAAAGAGGCTACATTTGATAGTAGACTTTTGTTCAAAAACACCGTGCAAAACTATTCTTTTACCCAACCTGTTTCAACTTTGGTAAGTTTGATAAATTTTTTCGAATGATTAATACGTTTTGACCATGCATTTTATCATTTCTTTCTTTTTTTAATTTCTATAGATATAAATTTTTTATTATGCTCGTTGATCATGTGAGATACAAGCATCTGAATATTCTATCGATATGATCGAAGCGAGGAATGGACATGTTATCACCGAAGAACTGGTTAGTGAACGTGAATATTACAAAAAGCATTAGTATAGCTCGCGTGGCAAAATATATTGTTTTGAATGCGATTTTATTCGACGATGACTTGTAGATGAATTTAAAATTCTCGACAAGGAACTGACAAAGTGCAGATTAGTTAGTTTTAGCTAGTGATTCACAACTATATATGATAACTTTAAACTCGTCAACTCGATTTATTTTCGCATTATCGATCGTTCGTTATTTATTCACATATTTCTAATAAAAAAAAATTATAATAAAATTATTCAAGTGAAATATTTAATTATGAAAATTTCAAATTAAAAATTCTCTTCTTAAAATTGTAAAAGTTAAATTTTCAAATATATCATTCAAATTAGATTAAATTTAAAAAATAAAATATTATTTAAAATATATCGATTTTAAAATTTAATCCATCGATCATCAAAGACGAAGGATCGATAAAAATTCTTTCATTTTCTTTTCTTTTTATTGGTATAAACAATGACGAGTTTAAAATTTGTAAATTCGACTCGTTCCATTTTAGTAAAGTCGTTTTAATTAAACTAGATTGGGTATGAGACATACCAGCTCGACGGTGTAGAGCATCTCGCGCTGCTTGGTGAGCTCCTGCATGTACATCTGCGGCACAAAACACATCCACAGTCCACCAGTGCTCAACTACCTTACACGGTCAGAACAATTCGTTTTCTTTCTCGCGCATTTATCAATCATCGTTATAAAAAAGTGAATTTTTTCAAATCGAAAAACATTGAATTCGTCAATCAGCTTCAAAGTGTTTTTGTTAATATCCTTTTTAAAATTAGATAAAAAAAAAATTGGAACAGTGATCAATTCATATCGTTGTAAAATCAACATCGTTGGTCAATATTGATTAATGACAATTTTCATATGTTACGTTTTTTGAAAGAAGTACAAATTTTGGAAATTTATTTAAATTTATTCTAATAGATAGATTGTTCAATCCATATCGTTGCTACGCCAAGACCAAACTCACACCCGTGTCTCAAACGAAACTCAAAGCAATCTTAGATCGCGACGTTCGAGGAACAAAAGAGACGAAATTACAGTTTACAAAAACTAAAGAAGCAAATACGTATAACAGAACTCTGATATAGCGTGTCTTTATATGATTTATAAAAGCATCGATAATTATGGATCTCCTCACCGTCATATAGCTTTATTTTTTTTTTTTNTTTTTTTTTTTCATATAAAAAAAACAAACGATGCGATTTTTATTTAAAAATATTTAAAAATAGAAAAATAGAAAAAAAAAGGATATAATAACATTCAAAGAAATATGTGCATATTTTAAAAATAAAAGAGAAAAAAAAAGTAGTAAAATAAATAAAAAATAGTAAAAATCTAAATATGTATATATCAAGATGAAAATAGAGATATATAATATATTATAATTTGATATTTAATCGCGTAGGAGATTAGTAAATGGAGATACGAATGAATATAAGCGATATATGTAGATAAAAAATGTGTGTACACGAAACGGAAGCTCATATATTTCTACGAGAGAAATAAAGAAACACACACACTCGCACACTGTCTATTCTACAGCAATGACACGATTCAAGAAAACGATCCAAAAAAAGAGAAAGAGAGAGAGAGAGAGAGAGAGAGAGAGAGAGAGAGAGAGAGAAAGAGAGAGGAAAAAATAAAGAAAAATTCGTTTTAGACTCACCTGTTCTTTCAGCATAACTGCCTGCTGCCGCTTCAGCTCGCGTTCCTGAGAAATCACAGAGAATGCTCGTGGTCATTTTTCTCTCGTTCGTTAAATATTGTTCTTCTAAAAAGCAACTAATGAAGTTGAAGAGGCATATGTATTTTTCACATGGAACAGAGTGAGAAAAGAAAAAAAAAAAAAAAGAAAAAAGAAAAAAAAAGAAAAAAAATTAAACAAATAAAATTCGACGAAGGAGAAAACTCGACGAGGGACAAAAACGTAATTAAGGGAAAAAAGACGAAACATGCGATTCTCGTACGAGTTGATTAAATTCGAACGACAAATTAAATTCCACTTTCAAAAGAAATTTCTTTAAATCCTTTTAGAATGTTTGAAGAATCAGTTTTTTAAAATAGACTTTTAACACGAGAGGGAAAAAGAAAAATAAAAAAGTTATAAATTTATAATTGAATCTACAATAAAAAGAGAAAAGGAAAAGAAGAATCGAATAAACGAATTGGAAGTTAATTTATCGGTAAATAACATTGTTACCTGGAATAACGTGAATAAAGTTAGGAAATTTCCAGGCTAAATTTTTATTTTTGAAAAACGAGCGATAGAGAATGAAAGAAAATGTGAAGTACGGAATAGTAGAGAGAATCCAGGCTAACGTGTAACAACGATTTTAGGATTACCTGTTGCTTTCGTTGTTGTTCTTCCAGTCGTATCTTCTCCACCTCTTCCTGCCGTTTTTTCCGAGCCTGCGCACATGCCATATACACACGTCACTCTCATCCGTCATTATTTTCGAAGGATCAAACTTACAGAATTTCTCTTTTTATTTTTCTTTATTTTCTTTTCGATTTAAACGCGATACCAGAGAATTTTGTCGTCGTGAATTTTACCGATCGTATGTCCATCTTCCTTATCGACTTAAAACGATAACGCGACAAAAAGTTTAACGTTTAAATTCACAGATGACGTTGCATTATCGATTTCTACTAACGCGCTGCTAATTACGAAGGATTTATTGGATTGAAAAGAAAAAAAAAAAAAAAAAAAAAAAAAAAGAAAAAAAATTAAAAGAAGGTTATATAATATACATAATAGATCTTATATCTCGTTTCTGAAATGTTTCGTTTCCCGATCGTTTCTCTTTTTTTTTCTCTCTCTTTTAATACCGTGTGCAAGTGCGTGGACCTCTGTGAAATTCCTTTCTCATTTCTGAACCGTTCTTTCGAGGATTTCTAATTTTATGTATACAGTTTCTTCGTGCTACTTGTGATCCAAACGCTACTGTGTAATGAAGCAGACGCGACTACGTAGCAGAGTCAGTGACAGGAAGATTAAGCATCTAATCTAGCGTATCTACGTAGTTCTAATTTGTCTAATCGAGGCTTGATATTGTTATTTCATAAAATTTCATTATAATTCTAATAAAACATTATTCTTACAAATCTCGAATCCTTTTGATCGTTTTTTTGACTTTTTTAACACGTTCAGGATGACAATAAAATCATAATAAATTCAGTATTCAATTTTGCGTATTCATGGTACTTTAATTATAATGGACGATACTTTTTTTTTTTTTATATATATATCCCCGTATAACTATCGTATCCCATCATCCTAAACGTATTAAAAAAATCCAACAATTCGATGGATCCCTTCTTGTGTACAAATCAACAAACGTGAAAAATCGACAAAACACACGCCTATGAATCGGAACCGAAACCGAACCCAGATAGTCGATGCACACAATTGAATCGATAACTCGATTTCAAACCGAGATTCGAATCGGAAATAGCGACGAGAACAAGAGAGAAAGAGAGAATATACACGAAACGTAGAGCGTCAACGGATCCGTGACGGAAATCCCCTTCACCTGATTTACCTCCCAAAAAAAACGAGTACAAAGTGGAGGGGGAAAAAAAAAAGAAATATTTAAAGAGTCCAAAAAATGTACGCATGCTATTTCGTGGAAAAGCAAAAATATCTGGTGAAATTTGGAGGGAAAGAATAAGAAAAATCGTGATGATAAGGTAACAAATAACGTCGAGACATAAAGGAGAACTGGAGAAAAAAAAGAGAAAGAAGAAAGAATTGCAACCAGGTAGAGAACAAACCAACGTGTTCCGTATTCGTGAAGAATCGACGTGACTTCACGGAATGGAACAAGGAGAAGTGAATATGGAACTTTGTTCGAACCAAAAGCTTCTCAACCAGAACTACCAGAGAGAAAAATATATAGGCAACATATGAAATATATTATATAATATATATATATAAAAAAAACTGTGTATATATATATAATATATAGGTAATAAATATATGTATATATAAATATATGTATAATTATAAACCACCACCATAATTTGTACAAGAAAATATAGACGAGAGACAAAGTAATAGAAATTTGAAGATTGTTAAAGAAAAAAAAGTAGTAGTAAAAAATTTTTCGAAGCGACCAGAAGAAAGAACGTGAAGAATTGTGAAAGAAATGAAGAGAAAAAGAGAAATAGGAAGAGAGCGCATGCAGGAGCCAAGCAAATATACTCGCCTTATGTATTTATGCACATATTATGTGATGTAATAATAATAAAATTGATAATGATAATGGTATAATATTGGTATCGCATTAAGCTGTAATGATGAAAAAAAAAGAAAAAAAAAAGAAAAAAAAAAGAATAAAATGTATTTTTATCGATTAGAACGTGTTGTGTAGCCTGTTCAAATTACAGAGAGAAGGAGAAAGTGTTTTAACAGCTGTGACAATTGGTCGGTATTAAATATATGATAATTCGTGATAATAATTGTAATCAGAATATATAATGGCAACGATAATAATAATACGAGCGATAATTATAAACAGAGCGTGTGATTAATCGAGTTGATAATACTACATGTTTCACGCGACAACCTTTTCTAGGCTTTTTAAACATAGAGAGGGGTGAACAACGAGATTTAAAAAAAAGAAAAAAAAAAGGAAAAATTGAGAAATTATTGAAAAAAAAAAAAAAGAAAGAGACAGAGAGAAAGAGAGAGAAAAAGAAAGCTTAATTTGCACGAGCAGTTATACTTGATAATCGTGTAGAACACGTAAAAATTTGAAAAAAATATAGCATGCTATGATAATCATGTAGCTAGCTGTTATTCTTGTATATAGTGACAGGAGAAGCTAGGCAACAGGATAGCATTGCGACAGTCGGTATTTCTTGAATTTATCGTCATAGTTTCGCAGATATTATTATACATTCACGTCTAATTAAAAGAAGAAAAAAAAGGGGGGGGGGTTTCTTGTGTTTGCTACGCATACTGTGTTAATTATTCGTCAAACAACATCGAAAGTTTCTTCGATTCTTTTCATAATATACGTGGAAAGAATCGAGAGAGAAAGTTCGACGATTCGAGGCATTTCGTGGCATTTAAACCGAATTGAGTATCGTTTTGAAAACACAAATGTCGGATTGTAAAGTTTAATTCGAAAAGTTTGATATTCGACATATCGACCTGTCAATCCAATCGATGTAAATGCAAATCGAACGATCGTTTAAATATTTAAAAATTTGTAATTCCGTTACATGCAATATTTTTTTTTATTTTTATTTTTTTTTTTTATTTTTTGTTTCGATAATTTCCCTCGAACGTATACACGATGATTCATAAAAAAAAAAAAAGTAGCGTAAACTTTTTCGTCTCACGATCTTTAAACATTATTTTTTTCTAATCGAATTAAAATGAAAATCAGAAACTCACTCTTTTCTCCCCCCTCCCCCCAAAAAGCAAGAACATAAAAATGTATTAACATTTGACAAAATTAAAAATCAAAAATTACCGAAAATGATCTTTTTATATTCTTGTAAATTCACGTTTAATAAAAATAACCGAGCACAAATAACTCTCAGCTTTAAAAAAAAAAATCTCATCACATCAATCGTCCTGTAAACCCCGTCGACAATTCCATCTTCATTTTCTCGCGTTTATTGCGTTTTGAAAAAAAAAACCGGAAAAAAAAAGGAAGAAAGAAAAACGGACTCAATTTGGCGTGTGCCAGGAATGTCGATATTGTTATCACCCGGCAATGTTTGACCCTACAAAAGCACTGTGCATCTATACAGGCGCTTACGCGCCGTGCACACGCGTATGTGTATATATATATGTATGTGTGTGCGCGCGCGCACGCGCTTGTGTGTCTCGTATGTGTGTGTGTACGTACGTATGTGCGTGTGCATGTACATAGGTGTGTATGTATGCGCGCGTGTGGTGTCCTCTTTCATTCGATCGCTACGTGATGCACAAGTATTTTATAACGTGGGCTACTGGTGCTCGTGTACCTGTTCGTACCTTGGACCATCGCATATTTTGACTCCGTCACTTGTCGAAAAAAAAAAAAAAAAAAAAAAAAATTCTCTGGAAAGAAACGTCGGCTCGAAATTTCCATTTGGGGAAAAAACAGTGTGTACACGCGCGACCATGAGGAGATGGACGATAAAAATTTGGACGATTCCTAATGATACAGATAACAGAATGTCGCGTGTAAAAAAAAAAAAAAACCCCGATCGATTTCTCCCGATATAAAGAATACGATCTTGTGATTTTTTGACACGAGGCGAGGATCAAATAAATCTCGTGGAGAATTTCGTGAGAATGGCCCGGGCCGGAATCGTTCGAGCATCGATTAGATATGCAGACACTACTGGAGGAAGAAATTGAAAGACAAGCGAAGAGAAGATGTGAACCAGCGCGCGGGAAAATAATAAAAATGAAAACTCGTGATAAACCTGAGATGAGAGTGTGATTTTTTTTCCTTTTTTTTTTTTCTTTTTTTTTAACGAAAGAGAACCAACAAAATCCCGAATTCCGTTATGGGTATATATAGAGACACGCGTGTAATTGACGGAAAGAAATGAGAGAAACGTAAAGAAGGGTCGATGAAGAGAGAAAAAAAAAAAAAAAAGAAGAAGAAGAAGAAAAATAAAAGGAACAAAGATTCACAGATGATCGATGTAAAAAAAATGCAAACGATCGAGAACGGAGAAAACACGCGGTCACGTGTGATTCGCAAGTACGTGATATTATACTTGGCGTGAGAAACGTCTGAAAAAGACGGAGAGTAATATCTTACCTCTGGTTGTCGCATCACGTGTGATACGCTTAATCTAGCAATGGACAGAGTAGATGATGAGATGATCGTGGGGGAAATTCGGGCAGGAAGGGGGGAGGGAGGAGGAAGGAGGATGTTGATTTTTCGATTTTTTTCGATCGCAAAATATAAATGGGATGGAAGACACGACATAGAAAACCAGGCAATCGTAGTCTTACCTCAAGAGGTCCTTTCGTCTCGGTCCCCCGGTATAAACCGGAGAGGAGGAGGAGGAGGAGGAGAAGAGAAGGGGGAAATCTGTTGGACGAACGAATCGCAAAGGGACGACGGTAACGCTCATTAGTGAACATGAAGTCGATGAGGGTTTAATGACGATGTAAGATCGTAGAATGCAGTTCGCGAAATGGGGCAAGGGACTATCGAGCATGGAGGTAAAGGTGAGAGAGACAGGCGGATTCCTCGAAAGCAATTAATCGAGAGTGCAACTGGATGGACAAAAGGATTCGCGGAAAGAATAGCGGCGGTGCCGGAAACCCGGCTTCGGGCAAAGAACTTCTTCAGGGAACGCTCAGTTAGAAAGTAATTTCGCACTCGACGATTAAATTCGCTCCTTCCTCCCTCCCTTCCCTTCCCTTCCCTTCCCTCCCCCCACCCCCGTTGTAAAATGTAAATACACGCTATGTTTTCATTTTTTTTTTTCTTTTTTTTAATTATTTATCACGTCGTGGCGCGAAACACACTTCAAGGAAAGCGGATCCCTGGAAAATTTCAATAGCAACCGAATATCTTCCTCAGTGCTATTTACCCGATTATTGCTCCAAACAGCACTGTTTTCCTGAAACAGTGCCGTTTCCTCACCAACCACGATTCCATCTTCGAATTCCATTTTCTTTGGTTAATATTGGCGACGGGGGCGGGGGGGAGAAAGAGAGAGAGAGAGAGAGAGAACCTCGCGGAGGACGACTCGCGTTGGAAGGATCTCCTCTCGAGGGATGATCGAGGGGGTGAAAGATAGGGGGCTGAAGGCGAGGGTGTCAGGAGGCGTCATACGACATCTTACCTCCAGAAGCTCCTGACTTTGCGTCTGGGTCTGGGCCTGCTGGGTATTGTCCATGATGCTGGCGTTGGTCGTGGTGGTGCCTGTGGACGTGGTGCTGGAGGTTGGCGTCGTGGAGAGCTGCGTGGGTTGCGACGTCGACGGAGGGGCGACCGTTGCGGAGGTGGTCGGCAATGGGAGAGGCAGTGATGGCGGTGGTGGTGGTAGTGGTGGTGGTGGTGGTGGTAGTGGTGGTGGTGGTGGTGGTGGTGGTGGTGGCGGTGGCGGTGGCGGCACCACCTGCACCTGCGGAGGCGGCACCACGACGGCTGTGGGCAACGTGGTGCTGGTGGTGGTGTTGTTGGTTGCGTTCACGGTGTTCAACACCGTGCTATTCGTTACCAGTGACGTGACAGACGCCAAATTGGACGACGCGGAGGGGAGGCCGGTTTTTTTCGCGACCGGGTCCTCGACATCCGAGTGCTGCTGCATCATGTCGCGATTCCTCCAGCTCTCCGCGATGCTCTCCCGATTCTTCCAGATGGTGGCCACCGTGCTGCTAGCCAGACCCAGCTCGCGCGCCACGTCGCTCTTGCTCTTACCGCGTTCGATCTCTTGGATGATCTTCATTTTCTGCTTGATCGTGAACGCTAGCCGCTTTCGACCCTGCGTTTGTAGGTTTAGGGATGCCCAATAATCGATCGTGTTAATCGCAGGTACGTGATTACGTGGTGGTACGCGTGCGAGTGACACCCGTCGCTCTTTTCGACGGTGGCCCGTCCTTCGTTCGAGGAGGACGTTCGTAAACAATTGTTTTGAGCAACTTGGGTGAATGATCGTGGTGGTAGTGGTAGTGGTGGTGATGGTTGTGGTAGGTGGTGGTTGGATTTCTAGCGTGGTCTCACTGTGAAGAGGATAGGCTGAGCCTTTTTCGAGCTTCGCAACCAACTGAAAGTTGCAACAGAACAAACTAAGGGGCTCTACACCAGCGATCTTTCGATTCTTCGACTAATAACTGTAGGTAATATTTTTTTCTTTCTTTCTTTCTTTCTTTCTTTCTTTCTCGTTTTTTCTTTTTTTTTTCTTTCGTTAAAATTTTTTCACTCGATACGTCTACGTAACCAAATGATCGCTAAATGATGCCGTAAAAACAAATAATAA